ACAACTTCGTTTAGACTTCTTCCGTTGATGATGATTCATGCTTCACGCCAAAGACATCACAGAGCATTCCATTGTGAAGGTCATAAGTTAACGTTATGGATTAGAGTGCTTAAATAAATTAATAAAACATTAGTCATGGTTTCAGAATAGTTTCAGAATAGAAAAACCACATATATAACCATACATGTTAACATCTTTGGCTGGCCAAATAGTGTTTGACAGTCTTGGTTGTATTGTGTTCTCTGAGTTGGGTTGCTCAATCGTGAAGTTTTCATCATCTTTCTAGACGACATCATCACCAATAACTTCAGTATGAAGTCAGCTGTCAATATCTCTCCGTGAGTGATTTAGTGGTTTGTTCTGACGATGTGGTCTGTGATTGGTTGTTTCCTTCGGTTGTTGTGTTATTGACTATATAGAATTTCCTATTGGCTGTTCCTCTTTCTGACCTCTGACCTTTCTATCATTTTTCTCATCTTTCTCATTGGTTGATAGATTGGGTCTATGCTTATACATCTGTTGAATGCTGACTGACTTGAATCCCAAGCTGCTAGGAATTCTCTGATTTTCTTTGTGTTTCCTCTCCGTCCAAAATTTCTACATTGTCCAAATTGAATTCATGTCCATGGTTGTTATCCACTTGCATTGAAATGAGTGATGAAATGTCGCATATGACGTTCAATAGCCAATTAGTGTTCATGTAGACGATGAAGGCGAAGAGGGCGACCACTTTGTCCAATGTAGTGATGACTACAGTTATTGCAGTTGTTGTTGCATGCTTTGGTCTGCATAATGGGGTTTGGAGGGAATTTGTTGGTTTATGAGCCACATCAATTCCACTAAGTGATCTCAGTAATCTTGTTGTGGTTTCTGATATAATCTTTATGTATGGTAGGGTGATGCGTTTATTGATTTCTGTCGATGACTTTGTAGTTGATGTTGTACGGGATAAACATTTTCTGATGAAGTTTTGTGGGTAACCGTTCTTCTTTAGGATGGACATCAAGTAATTTTCCTCATTTCTCCATGAAGTTGTTGTATTACAGTATGTTCTTGTTCTTTTGAATAGAGTCTGCACGCAACTGATTTTGTGTGTTGTTGGGTTGTTGCTACAGTAGTTGAGGATTTGGTCAGTGTGTGTTGGCTTCCTTTACACTTAGGTTTCCAGGTTTTCGACATTTGTCCTACTGACTGAAAGATCCCGGAATGGTAGTTGGTTGTCTGACTCCTTCTCTGTTGTGAATTTGATTTGATTGAAGACGATGTTGATCAAACTGTGAGTGTTTTCTATATCATCTTTTTTAATGATGACAAAAGTTTCGTCCACACAACGAATCCAAATTTTTGGTTTGATCACAGGCAGAATAATGGCTTCCAGTCTCTGCATCACTGCTCCTGCAATTAATCCGGATATCGGCGATCCCATTGGAGTTACCTTTCATCTGTTCGTATATCTTACCGTTGAATTGGAAGTATATTGTCAGATAAAGGTCGATGAGTTCCATCAGACTTGAACAATTGAGTTTTATGCGTTCTGAAAGGTTTTTGTCTTCATTGAGCAGGAGGCACATCGTTTACCTTGGCCAGTTGTTGTTCATGGATGTGTATAGTGCTGTGACATCGAAGGATATCATTAATTTGTAGTTTTCAATGTTAATGTTTTTAGTCTTTTCTGAGAATTCCATTGGTGACTTGATGGAATATCTGCATGATTGAACGAGGTGTTTCAGTTTTCTCGAAAGTTCTCTTGATATGTTGTGTGTTGGAGTTCCCGGAAAGGAGACTATTGGTCGTAGAGGGATATCGGGTATGTGTAATTTTGATCTGCCGTAGAACCGAGGAAGGACAGGTTCATTCGATTTCATACGCCATTTGTCTTGCTTTGTTATTTCTTCTGCTTTGAAGAGTTTGTTCAAGGTTTTATTGATCTGGTTGTCGAACTTTTGGATGGGGTTGGTTTCAAGTGGTTGATACATATCTTCGTCTTTGAGTAATTCCTCTGCCTTCTTGATATAGTCTTCTTTGTCCATGACTACCGTAGTGCGTCCTTTGTCTGCTGGAAGTATAACGATATCCTTCCTATTTCTCAGTCTTTTCAATGTTTTCTTTTCTTGAGTGTTCACTTGAGCACGGTGTCTCTTCTGCCTGGTTAGTGGTACGATTGTTTGCCGTATTTCTTGTTGAGTGACCTCATTTAATCCTGATGTTTTAAGTGACGATTCTAATGCCGCAAAGAATTCTGGTCTCGAAGCATCTCTTGTGTTGTAATTCAATCCTTTTTGAAGGAGAAGTACTTCCATTTTCGGTAGTGGTTTTTTGATAAGTTGGCAACGCAGCTGTTTGTTTCTTCGGTTGTAGGTGTTTCTGAGATTTTGAATAGCTTTTTCCTGAGGACTTTTCTTCGTTATTCTTTGTGTCGCCTGCTTGATTTTTCAACTGCAGTTGTCAAAGTTGTCATGTGTTGCGTCGTGAGTATGCTTTCTAGTTTTCTCTTTTGATTGTTAGCCACTTATTGGTATTTCCGGGTCCGATGGTGTGCATCTGTGATCATCAACTGTACCATTTGTCTTCCACTTTGGTCAGCTATTTTCCATCCCATTGGACAGTTAACCGGTGGTTTATATCTGACACTTTTCGGTAGAACAAGCTGACGTAGGCACTCATGGAGAAAGAATAGTTGTTCTTTTGTGGAAGCTTGCCTTTTTGAGAAGTCTTCTCATCTTCGAACAACGTGAAGTGTGTCACGCTCGTATGATTTCGAAATAATGGAGAATATTTGTAGCTCAGGTGGATGGTCTTGGTTGTATTGTGTTCTCTGAGCTGGGTTGCTCAATCGTGAAGCTTTCATCATCTTTCTAGACGACATCATCAGCACTAACTTCAGTATGAAGACAGCTGTCAATATCTCTCCGCCAGTGATGTAGTAGCTTGCCCTGACGACTTGGTTTATGGCTGGTTGTTTCCTTTGATTGTTGTGTCATTGACTGTTAAGATTTTCCTTTTGGCTGTTTCTCTGCTTGACCTCTGACCTTTCTGTTGTTTATCGTTTTTCTTATTGGTTGATAGATTGGGTCTATGTCTAGTGTATGACAGTAGTTTGCCACATGAACTGACACGGGTTATATGATAACTGAAAATGACAGCACTGGATAGCTGTTTTATCCTATTTTGAGGCTCTTCTATAATGTGGGCTCACAACTTCATGAAGAATGGAGACCAAAACTATAAGTTGTCATCGCGATCAAGTTATCAACTAGCCATTGGGTTAGAACTCAATTGTCTGCTTCAGTTAATTTATGACAGTTAGACCGTTATTTAATGTCATGCATAGGTATTCGCCTTACTCTCAACTTGATGACCTCACACAGTTTACAACGTCGTATTAAACTTAGGAGAATTCATGTTGAAAAAGGTCATTCAATTCCTTACGAGGTCATATGCATAAGAACTGTTGAGGAGTCCCAAAATGAGACCAAATATCTGTCTAGTACTGTCAGGTCATCAATGATTCTCTAATCTGTAATGAAAACCATTTGAGAAGTCACCAGTTCCTGAACTTTTCACATATCAAAATCAAGTACAACTTGTAACGTTCACGTATTGACTTTCAAATTTGTAAATTTTAGTTGTAAACTTCCAAAAAAAAAAAATTATGAATCTCTTAAAATAAACGATAAAGATATTTTTAGCATAATTGTTTTTATATTATACCGTCATTGATTGGACCGAATTAATCGGTCTCTATTGTCATATGGGTTCCTGTGCAGATGCCTGGATATTACCTGTATTCTAATTATAGTAATGATGGATAGTGGCTAGCAGTGGAATCCAGGATGCGCATTTCCGGAACATTACTCACTACTGGGAGGCAGATACACCCAGCTGACGAATCGGAAATAGGACGAAATGCGCAAACTGGATTTCACTGCTAGCCACAATCCATCATTACTATAATTAGAATACAGGTAACGTCGAGGGGTCCGCACAGGAGCCCATACGCCAATTGAAACTGATCAGTACCGACCAATCAACGACGGTATAATATAAAAGCAATTATACTAAAACTATATCCGTCGCACAAGGAGTGGCTATCGTGGCTCGATGTTGTAGTGGATAACGTTCTAGTGTTTGAAGCGATCGCTCCCGAGTCTGAATCCCGGTAGGAACATCACTCACTGGGAGGCAGGCAAATCCAGCTGACGAGTTCCGAATAGGACGAGACGCGCATCCTAATTTCTTTGCTAACCACTATCCATCATTACTAAAGAAATTTTCATACTAGGAATTCCATCAAAATAAATTTCTTGTAAGTTATATTGGTAAAACGTATGGCAATTTAAACCAGTACATCCAAATGCGCGTCCTGGATTCCTCTACAAGTTACTAAAATCAATATAACCTCATGAATACCAGGCAGTACCGAGGCATCCATATAGGAGCACATCTGTGAACAGAGGTCAAGCAATTCTGCCCGTATAGCAACGGGAAATTACGAGTACCATAACAACAACTGAGGTGGCTATCGTGCTCCAGTGGCCTAGTGTATAACACTCAGGCGTTTGAAGCGATAGGTACCGGATACTGGGAATAACATCACTCACTGGTGTGCAGATGAATCCAGCTGACGAGTCCCAAATAAGATGAAACGCGCGTCATAGTTTCCTCTGCTAATTACCAAGATCGATATAACAGCGCATACTATTGCTTATTAGGATTACACGGATAGCCTAGGGAAGGATTCTAAAATATATAATTGCTTAACCGACAATCTAACATTACAGTGAAACAAGCTAAGCAATGAACTAACATAGTGAAACTGATGACTACTGAAGAGAACGAAAATCATTCCCCAGATAGTATTGTTATCCACTGCAAAGTATTATCTTGGTGTATACACGCATATTAATTAGTGAGAATGAAATATTGATGAACGTTTTCTGATGGCCGGAGTATTTCAATGATATACACTGTTTAATACAACAGGAATACAATAAACTCACGGATAATAAATGATAATACAGAAGTAATTGTCAATATAAAACGAGTAATCCAAATTCGACTAGATCGAAGATATTTATGTGTAATATACGTGACGAAAATTTGATAAATTGAACCACCACCAAACGTTAATGCAGCACCGAAGATGTGTACAGGCCAAACAGCTGTTTCCTAATCGACAAAACATAATAAATACTAAAATGTTTGATATCTTAGCAACATATCATGATTCATTTTTTTTATAAGATTCTACAATGTTGCACAATATCCATCGATAATAATAGTAAAAATACTAATAGTGATAATAATATTCGTAGCGTAAGTTTCGAGAGAAAAATTAACCAACTGATTGTACAAATATTTGTTGAAATATATCACTTAACGCATGAGAGAAATTATTTATTATTATTTGTCCCTTGGGTCCTTAGTGGAACATCGGGTTGCAGTAACACATCGCCATTGCACTCCATTCTCTCCACTCCTTCCTTTTTACCTGGCTCCACGACTACCCACTACCTTCCATCTCTTCCTCACATCATCTCCTCCATGTCACCCTCGCATCCAACGCCAAACTCATCGTTTCCTATTTGCCTTTTACTCGAGGACCTCGGTTGGTGCGTCATATCCCCAATCGGTCTTCTCAATATATGTCCAATCTAGTCCAGTCAACTCCAATCCATCTCAACTTTCTTCTTCTTGAGTGATGGCTTCTTAGTTGCTTCTCCCCAACCCATACAGAGTTCCTTGTTGCTTATTCCTATTCTTCATCGCCATCTCACCTCATTTTCAGTATCCAACGTAGACGGCAGCTGTTGATGAATGTCTGTAGATTGTAAGAAATGCTTTCCGTGATACGCAAACTCTCTCAACCATCACATAGAAGCACTCACTCATTCACTCACTTGACTTGACTGACTTAGTCTTGAAATTCTGTATCTTGTTCACACTTTATGCTGAGTGGAGTGCAGTAGATCTCCACACTGATTTCAAATTAATGCAGGAAGGCCTGTCTTGTTGTCTTTCCGATTTTGGCTGGCTTTGACTCCTTATCGTCCCTGTGCCGCCTGTGGTTGAAACGATGCTGCCTAGGTAGATGAGGGAGAAATCATTATTTGGCCTTAATCAAGCACTTTATGTTTTTGGGCTTGGCAGTCTACTGTTAATGGTCTTCGAACTACAGAGGGAAAAGAATGTGGTCCTACTTAGTTGGTTGACTTTAAAGGCCATCCTAGCAACTGCTGAAATGACGAATCTTTCTTTCGGTATTTCGCCTGGGAAAGTTATTTTCCATAGGATAAAGGAATGTTATTGGCTGTTTCATCGGTTGCTACAGTGGTCTTTAAAGTCACTCTCCTAGACTATCATCGAAAGACTGGATGAAAAAGAAAAACAACTTAATAATCTGAACATTTTGATTGACCCTTAAATTCAATATACAATAAACAAGCAGTAAAGAAAATCTTGATATTACATGTATTCGCCCTTTTTTAGACATACACTATAAAGTATTATACAGACTCACTTGAAAATTAGCGACTATACTTATTCCAAATGCACTTGAAAGACCAAAAAATAAACCAATTGTTGATGTTTTAATCAAATGACGATATCGTTGATCATATCTTTGATTATAATTCAATACTGCCACTTTATGCCATGAATAAAAACATAAGCCTCCTTGTTGTTGTATACCGATCACCATTTAAATTTGAACAAGAAAACAATATAATAAAAGGGATATAATGTAAGATGAATTAAAAATTATCAATGTCATTCAATAGAAGAATAGTATATAGCATTATTGAATGACAAGTAATGTTATATAAAGATATCCTATAAAGTGATCATATTATCCGTCTCAATGGAATGTCAGCTAACTATACACAGACACGATGAAGACTATGGTCATATGTCAGTAACACTTTACTAGAGGGAATTAGTTAAAGTAACATCCCTTTTTAGTAGAGCTAGAATTTACCATGAATTGGCAGATGGAAATAAAGTTTTTGTGTAGATTTCTTCTACTCAAAATGTCAGCACCACTTTTCAATTTATCCAATCAATAATTAGATTGTCTGTAATAACATATGCAACACGAAACAAATGTGTATTCAGTGAATAAACTAATCACATCAAAGTGTTTAACAAAAACTTCTATTTTGATAATATTCATTGTTATCACTACCAATCATTGTTGGTATTGATAACTGCAAAAACTGAAAACATTCATTACCATTATGTAAATATAAAACAAGCAAAGGAAGTGAGGACAACGTACGTAGTAGCTTAAAGATAAACAATTTTAACAAGTCAATTGATTGGAAGAGCTATCTTGTCAAACTACCAAAGAAGGGAGATCTAAGCATTTGCACGAACTGGCGCAGAATCATGCTCCTGTCCATCGAAAGCAAAATATTATGCCGCATTATCCTGGACAGACTAAACAATGAGCTGGATTCAGGAAGTACAAATCATGTTCGGACCAAATTGCAACGCTACACTACGCACCATCATTAGAACAGAGCATAGAATGGCAGTCAACTCTCTGTCTGTCTGTCTGTCTCTCTCTCTCTACCTCAACTTCATCGACATTGAAAAGGCCTTTAACAGCGTCGACCGATAAGTAATTTGGCAACTGCCCTAACTCTACGGAATACCACAAAACTTTATCAATCTCATTCAACAATTATATAAAGACACCATATGCCGAGTGATTCACAATGGGAAGCTCAGCTCAGTGATGCTTTTGAAGTGAAGACAGGAGTAAAACAAGGTTGCCTACTATCCCCCATGATATTCCTGATTGTAGTCGACTGGACTGGATCATGCAACAAACAGTGGGGAGCGAGAAGAGGGGGATACAATGGTTGGACCGCGGAAAAGATCCTGTAAGATTTGGATTTCGCCGATTACTTGTATCTAATGTCACACAAACTTGAAGATCTACAGGCGAAAACTAACAAGTTGGCAGAAGGGCAGGGCAGTGAAAACGGGACTTCAAGTGAATGTAGAGAAGACAGAGGTGATGAAGATACCTAATCAACAACACCAACAACAAACTCCGATCACCATCAACGGGATAAACTCAAAGGAAGTAGCCTCTTTCACCTACACAGTCAAGGCAGCACTGTTTCAACTACAGGTGGCGGCACAGACGAGGATGTCAAAGTCAGAATCGGAAAAGCAAGACAGGCGTTCACTAACGTAAAACCAGTGTGAAGATCTTCTGCACTCAGCATGTGGAACAATATCCAGATTGTAAAAACCAATCCAGTCAAGTCAGTGCTTCTGTATGGCTCAGAGACTTGGCGCGTCACGAAAGGGATTTTCAATAAACTACAGACATTCATCAACAACTGTCTACGCTGGCTCGTTACTGAAGATCAGATGGATTGCCAGAAAGAATAAGCAACAAGGAACTCTGGGGACGAACCAACCAAGAAGCTATCGCTCAACAAATATGCAGAAGGAAATGGAGATGGATCGGGCATACACTGAGAAGGCCAACTGGGGACATCACGCGTCAGGCCAGTTGCTCGAGTGGAATCCCCATGGGAAGCGACGAGTTGGGCATCTAAGCTGAGGGCGACATGAAGATCGTGCGAGGAGGAAATGAGAGGTTGTGGGCTGTTGTGGAGCCAGGTTCAAAAGATTCCAGAGAACAGAGTGCACTGGAGACGTGCTACTGAAGCGCTATGTTTCACTAGTAACCTAAGGGATGAATAATAATAATTGAAAAGTTGTGAGGGTCGGATATGATATTCATACTAGCCATGAAGTTTAAATAGATCAAAGTTGAATTTCATTTTGTACTAAATAGTTAGTGTTCAAACAGGGAGCTCCAGAAGAGTGTAAAGCTAAGGGATTACAATAATACTGGACGGATAACAGGATTACTTTGGCATTTGCCAAACTGCATCACCTGTGACACCAACTGGCGAAATATCCGACTGTCTATCAAAAGAGGAGTATACTGCGCTACTTTTCGTTCTGTCCTGTTATACAGCTTTGAGATATGGCCGTTGAAAGTAGGAGAGATGAAACCGTTACAGAATATTCATGATATGTGTCTTCGTAGTATTGCTCGCATTTGGTGGAATCACCATGTGATCAATGATGAGGTCAGGGGAAAGGTATTAGGCAAGATAGGCAAGATGATTGATAGGGTTATGAACCTTAGTGGACTGAGATGGTTTGGAAATGTAGTGTTCATGCCGAGCCACCATCTACTTCGATGTCCCGTACTAGAGGAAGTTGGATTAGTCTGGAAGAGAGTTGAGGATTATCACATCAAGATTGCTTGACTAGGATTATCCAGACGATAAGAATCAGTGTTTGACGACTCTTGGTGACAAGGCTGAAAATCGATTACAATGATGCATATCTATTCACTCCTTGACATTTTGTAAAGCTTTAATATTCACACTAACCCACTTCAAAGTGTTTATTCTCTCACATAACTTTGTCTACTTTGTATTACACTATTTTTCTATCCACCTGTTTTTCATGTACTACTGTAAAGCGTGGTAACTTGAACCGATACACTTGTGTACGAGGTTCTACATTGATTTTATTCATTATCAGTCAATCACATTACTTATGATAACAATGATAATACAGCACCTATACACTAAATGAAATAAGATAGGAAGGAAAACCAACTAAGCAAGAAAAAAGATTAGAATAAACGAAAAAATAGACAGGTAATGAGTAAATGTAGTCACAATAGTGTACGAATACTGTTATGCTGGACTAAAGTTAACCATTATCTATCTACTCCACTACATGGAAGTTTGAATTGACAACTCGAATTGTAAAGACTTCTGAAACTGTAAACATCTTTCACTATTCTCTAATGATCATAACGAAATAGATAGCATGAATATCACACGTGTAGTCTATTATATATTTTTCTTTACTGGGTTTCTAAGATCCTTCGTTGTTGTATACCTCAATCAATATATATATATATATATATATATATATATATATATATATATATATATATATATATATGTACGATCAACCAAGTGGATAAATAAAGAAGTTCTATTGAAATTTAGGTTGAGCAAAACTTGCTTCCTTCTCATTCATTTTTTTTTTAAAATATCATGTTTAATGTTGACAAATGATGTTTCATCATTAAGCTATATTCATCCTGAGCTGCAAGTTTTCTTTACTGTACTATAATGATTTCAATTGACGATTATTAATATATCCTTTAATTAAAATAGTTGTCACATGTTCACGTTCCGCTGTCAACACGTTACCATTGGGCCACTGGGTTAAGATTCAACAGTTTATAGTTCCTACTTCAGTCATTTCATGATATAGCACACCCTTTATCCAGTATCGTCGTTGGGTAATTCTCCTCACATTGATCTTGTACACGAACAGCCTACTCGATGATAACTGATAAAATTCAGTGGCTACTACTATTTTCCTGAAGAATAATTAAAATCTTGCAAAAGTAGAAATTTTCTCGGAACATATATAATCATACTATTGGTGAATGACAATAGTTACGATAATCTAGTCCAGAACTTTTTTTTCTGGCTATCAGCCAACATGTAATATTCGTTCAACACATACTAATATGAATTTAGATATTGAGCAACAGTAATAAAACAAATACATACTGGTCAATTGAAATTTACCTAGTAATGAGGCCATATTCAATAATTGGCCAAAAATACAGCTTTCTGGGACCCTTGAACCGGCATCACTTACAATTTCAAAAAATAAACACAGAGAATGTTTTGATTAATTACAACTTAAGTTCTATGCTTGAATACTGTTCAAATTGTAACTTATTATTATTACTATTGAAATAGTAAATGATGGAAATGATAGTGAGTCAACACTACAGATAAATGTCAAAAGTGAAAAAGGCTAAACATACTACTACTGAATAACTTGAGTAGTTAGAAACCGCTTAGACTGATCTATTTAATCTCCTCAGCCAGACTAGAGTGATTTAAACAATGAACAACCGTTTCCCTCGTTTAGAACTGAGTTCATTGGCAATTTACCCAAATAAATTCAGCTCAAAAAGCCAAACTACTTTGCTCGAATCTGGCTAGCTGACTTGTATAGACCGGTACATCTAAAATAAAATGATCAACTTACAAATCATTTAGTAATTGCACGGTCCCTATTGGCATTTCTCGAACAGATGAGTAGTTTTTTTAACTGCTTAACTATGGTGTTAAACAAGGTTTTCGTGGGAAACCATTTAGCCGACATCAAAAGATGTGACTTCTGATACAAAATTGTCATGAACTAGGGAAATGTACCACTACTAAACAACTTGAGTAGTTAGAAATCATTAAGGCTGATCCTCAGTATTTCACTAGCCAGATCAAAGTGATTCTTTTGAAGCAAACAACGAAATGCTTTACACCATATATTTAAGTTCTGTTGATCAATAGGTGACTATAATTGGTCCCAGATTAATTATTATTTGTCCTTTGGGTTCCTAGTGGAACATAAGGCTTCATTAACACGTCGCCATTTCACTCTCTTCTCAGCAGTCTTCTCAACCTGGCGATACGACTGCCTACAAGCTCTTATTTCTTCCTCACACCATCTGTTCCATGTCACCCTCTCCTCGGACGCCTGAATCGTCATTTCCCCTAAGGGTTCCGCACGACAGCCTGATCTGGCGCGTGATGTCCCCAAACGGTCTTCTCAGTGTCCAATGGCCAATCCATCTCTACTTTCTTCTCCATATTTGTCGGGCTATAGGTTCTTGGTTGGTTCCTTGCTAGTCCAGAGTTCCTTGTTGCTTATTATTTCTGGCCATCTGACCTGATCTTCAGTATCGAGTTAACGCAGGCGCCAGCTGTTCATGTATGTCTGTAGTTTGTTGGAAATGCTTTTCGTAAAGCAACAAATCTCTGAACCATGGGTTCAAGATACGACTGATTTATTACAACAGTAAGTTTGTACAAATAATTCTGAACATGATTGTTCAGAGGTTTGACCAAAGTAAGCCATACAAATAATGCATATTGCATTCCAAGCTTAGACAGTCGGTAGATATATTTATCTATAACTGGTGACTTTATTTATCAAGTAATAATAACATACACTAAAGTGGTCATTTACCTCAGGTTCTACGGTATGAATCTATTCTGAAATGTACAAGTTCCACTACCCACTGAACATTTCACTTCTAAACTGTTTGTCTAATTCAAATAAATACTTACTTGATTGAAAATAACTTGTAAAATAGTTGAAATATCAGATCCGTTAAATATAATCACCTCTTTTTATATTTTTATAATTTATCTTTTTTCGATCTAACCTGCTAGTTTAGGTGCCATATTGCAACTTTTCAATGTTTATCAATGAATTATTCTGCAATTATCAATCCCTTTTCATACGTACTACGTACTATTACCTGATATGAGTCTTGTAGAGACTACTTGGTATAACCTGTGAGTTATATACATATATACATGCATACACCTGGACAATAACCTTTAGGTTCCACTCATTGTTAGTCCCTCAGTTTCCCGATAAATGGAAAAGACGGTAAAATAACAGAAGGTGGATTGGAACATTGGAAATATGTATAAAATACAACAGTTTAAATATATTCACGATGCCCTTGGATATCTTTAGGTATTTCTAGATTGCAATATCCTATTGATTTTATTCCCTTCAACCAATTTGATATTTTACACGTTGATTCGTGTACTTTCTCTTGAAACCTCAATGTAGCATAATTGGTTGTAGATAAGTTTCAGGGATTTAGAGCTTTTTATAAAGATGTCTACAACTATGATATAATGTAGCTTCATATATTCTCTTTTCTTATTAGTTGACTAAAAGATTGGCATAAATAACATTGAATGTAAATGAATTTATATTGAAATGTATTCGTATATATCAATTCATCTTAGATTCAGTATCATCTTTAACAATACGATAGCGAAAAACAATGATCAACTATGAATACTAATGAATGATATCATCATGACTATTATTATTATTATTAGTCCCTTGGGTTCCTAATGGAACATAGGGCTTCAGTAGCACGTCTCCAACGAACTCTGTTCTCTGAGATTTTTTGAACCTGGCTCCACGACAGCCCACAACCTCTCATTTCTTCCTCACACGACCTCCTCCATGTCACCCTCGGACGTCCAACTCGTCGCTTCCCATGGGCATTCCACTCGAGCAACTGGCCTGACGCGTGATGTCCTCAGTCGGCCTTCTCAGTGCATGGCCAATCCATCTCCACTTCCTCCTGCTTATTTGTTGCGTGATAGGTTCTTGGTTAGTTCGTTCCCAGAGCTCCTTGTTGCTTATTTTTTCTGGCCATCTCATCTTCAGTAGCGAGCGTAGGCAGTTGTTGATGAATGTCTGTAGTTTATTGGAAATCCCTTTCGTGACGCGCCAAGTCTCTGAGCCATATAGAAGCACTGAGTTGACTGACGTTGGTGTTGAAAATCCGTATCTTGTTCCACATGCTGAGTGCAGAAGATCTCCACACTGGTTTCAGGCTAATGAAGGCCTGTCTTGCTTTTCCATCATCATGACTATAATGATATTAAACTATTGAAGTGTATAATATCAAAAATAAAACAATATGGTAAATTATTTTATACATAAGTGTGAATAACTCGCAATACATCTTCATGGTAAAAGTTACTGAAATTTCATATTATGCAATAAAAATAATATGACCTTATTGATAGGCATGCAGTAACCTAGTAAAGTTTGTAGACTATTTTTATATATGCATTTAATTCATTCAGTTGAATAGTTATCAAACTGTACATGAAAAAGTCTTAATTGAATGCATAATCAACCTAGTTTATTATTATTATTATTATCATTATTATTATTATTATTATTATTATTATTATTATTATTGCAAGTGTTCACACTAAACAGATAAATATTTACATCCATGTTGTATAACAACACAATGTCTATATGGTGTATTTATTCACTTGAAGTCAGTGCACTGAACCACATATGAATACTGTATAATAGGCATTGTACTTATGATAAGTGTTATTATTATGATATATGTTTAGATGCATTCATTACAGTATACATAAATATTTCTACAAATTATAGGCTAAATGATAAGATTTATCAATCGAAATAATTGGAAATGTCAAAAAAAAAAGTTTCTATCATAAAAACCTTTGTATTCCATTAGATATATAGTAATTAGGAATTGATGAATTCATGTTCAACTCCTGTAAAACAGTAGCCTAGAGTTTATTTTTTTTGAAACAATAAGTGATTTAGTCAAACTACAACAAAATAATTATATGAAAAACATGAGTTTTCGATTAACTCAACAAATTATAAGACATGGCTGTTGTAATTCAATGGCCTGGTGGATAATGCTTTGGTGTTTGGAGCGATCGGTCCTGGGATTCAAATCCTAGTGGGAACAATATTATTTACTTAGAAACAAGTAAATCTAGCTAATGAGTTGTAGATTTGATCAAAGGTGCGTTAAGCTGGATTCCATTCCTAGTTTTCCTGAAGATAGACTTATTTATCATTTGACTATCTGAAATAGCCGTAGTTTGGCAGACTGATATTTATACTGGGGTAATGATTGAAGGTGAGATGAAAACCTGTACCACGGCGGGATTCAAACCAGCGACCACAGGGTTGCCGTCCCGGTGCTCTACCAACTGAACTACAAGATCCGACTGCTGACAAGATTTTTATTTCAATTCAATCACCAAAGGTTTTCCCCGACTAACATGTGAATTCGTGACGTATCACTAGTCTGCCAAACTACGACTATCTCAAGTAGTCAAATGGCAATCAATATGATGTTACCCTCTATGATTCATTTGGATTGGGATTAGGATGAGAAGTTCTGATTAGACAGCCAGTGTGAATACGATCAAGTGGTTGTAACGCACGACGAATCTACATGGTAGTCGGCCAAAACCCCACCTTGCGATTGAAGTGAAATAAAAATCTAGTCATCAGTTGAACCTCGTAGCTCAGTCGGTAGTGCACCTGGCCGGTGACTCATTGGTCGCTGGTTCGAATCCGGCCGCGGTATACATTTTCACCTAACCTTCAATCATCACCCAGTATGAATATACTTTTATACCTTTCATAACATAAGATGACGATCGGTTTGGAATGAAATTGAAGATAAACACTACTAAGACCATAAAGAAGAAAAAAAATTTATTTTCTAGTTTCCGGTGCTTCTTTGCTCATTGATCGATTGATTGGTGATTACACAATATTTGAATAAGACCTCGTTAACTTATCGCACAGTGAATTATTTATAATATACTTTGAACTCGAAAGGTCATTATTGAAAGTTTATTCTTAAATCGACATTTGCATTATCACGTTTTAAAGAGTATAGGATCTTGATATAATCATCGAAAATCAATAAAAACAATCCTCAAATCTGAATACTTTAATCAAAAACTGTTTGCAGGTAACGTATACATGATCGAGTGGTTTGTAATCCACAAGTCATTATACTTCATAGATTTTCTGAGATATTTAACAAATAAATATATCAAAAGAAGAATGAACTAAGTATGCCTATCAGCTATAGTTATCACTTAAACGTTATAATTTACAATAAGACAGATTAAAGTAAAAAATTATGTGAGATAAGTGCAGAACATGTTGAATTATTTGGATCTTATCGAAATAATTTATTGAAACTTTGTTTCCTAGTTGTACTAAACATAACTTCAAAAGTAGTGAAGAAGTGAATTTAAGGAGGATATATATCAATCACTTTTTCCTTTAGTCCACTGAACACTACAAATCGTATTTTAGTTATACTACACTCACTCCTTTTTATATTGAATAGTATGCTATCTAATAATATTGATTATATACATGTATATAAAGAATATTCTAGAAATCTTTAAGGCAACTTACCTTATATAGGGGAAATAAGGCGATATGTGATCATTATTAAGAGAGATGAAATAACTATCAAAAAAAAATAATAAATAAAACAAAAATCAGGAAAAGACATGATGAGTATGCTCATTTAAGTTACTGTAACTGTATATTTAGAAGAGAAAAAAAACAAAGGACTATTTAGTGGATTATTTGTCGCTTAAATGAAGCTGTTACTTTACAATAACAGACTTTCATACTCTAATGATTTTCATCTTTATTTAGTATTCTGCTTCATAAAATCTATCCCATTCCACCCACTTCAGTCTGAATGACTGAGTAGTATCTGGGTATCTGAGTAACTGGCTCACAATAACTCAATAGTATATAAACATTTGTACCACATCGACTTGCATCATTGGGTAAGAGTAATATGTTTACTTTCTTTAAAGAAAAACAGAGATTTTTCAGGTTGGTAATCATCATGCACTGACATCAATTGGAAGAACAATGGGAAATTGGTAGCACTGGACAGTTATTTTATCCTATAGTATGGGACTCCTCATTAGTGCACACCTATGACTCCGCAAGGGATCGAATCCAGGACCTGCAGGTTCTGTGACCAGCACGTTACCATTGAGCCACTGGATCAGTCCATGATGAATTCCAATCTGAAATCAATTATTAATCTTTATAAACCTTATTCAACAGCTATATGAGGATGCTACATGCCAAGTGATTCACAATGGATAGCCGTCATGCCTTTGAAGTGAAGACTGGAGCAAGACAAGGTTGCTGCCTACTATCACCGATTATCTTCCTGATTGTAGTCGACTGGAGTGAATGATGCAACAAACTGTGAGGAGCGAGAAGATGGGGGTACGCTGGACTGATGAAAAAACACCCCAGATGACTCTGGTCTGGCAACGAACCAACCAAGAACCCATCGCCCAACAGATATGCAGAAGAAAGAGGAGATGGATTGGATTGGACATACACTGAGAAGACCATTTGGGGACATCACACGCCCAACCAGGCCGTCGAGTAGGACCCAAATGGGAAGCGACGAGTTGGGCATCCGAGGTGAGGGTGATATGAAGTAGATGATGGAGCCAGGTTGAGAACACTGCTGAGAAGAGAATGGAATGGCGACGTGTTAATGAAGCCCTATATTCCACTAGGAACCCATGGGACAAATAATAATAAATTCCTATTTGGAAATACCAGACACTGATCTTTCTTGATAAGTGAACAACATTTATTTACTGGCCCATTCACATGAAAACTGATAAGAACAATCGGATTCACGTTTTATACGCGATACAAAATGCCATCTAAATAAATATGACGAAATAAGTGCAATTCAGGAAGCCTTCCGTTTCGTATACTTGACTGTCAAACATATGTATCATGCAAAAGCGAACGATACTACTTCGTTTTTCAGACATCGAGAGGAAAAGTTAGGATAAAAGTGGTAAGTCACTGGTTGAAAGTCGAGTCGTTAAACTAATAGCCCACAGGTAAACTATTAAACTGTAACCTGTATACTCTGCTAAATGACTAATGATATCACCTAAAATCTGAAATTTGAGTACTAGTAGATGCAAGCAAGTATCTTGATAGCCAAAAGTATGTCTTTAAAATCATTATCTCAAGAGGGTTCAAAGACAGATCTCAAGAGCTGACGAAGTTAAGCATGAAAACCCATCGAAAATTGTATAACCGATAAGGGTGTATGTATGTAATGCATACAATATGACATACATCACTTCTTAGATTGATACTATTACTGGAAAACTTGAAGTTGTTGTCTGTGGACTCATTCCCTGACTAGCAAACTGGGAGGTCCGTAACCTGTTTTACTCCAAACACTGGGGATGAATAGCTGTTCATTGCAAGAATTTGTAAACAGTTACGCAGTAACATGTGTACAGGAGTATAAAATGGAAGTTGAATGGCATTATCAGTATAACAATTCATTCAACTGGGTAGTTAAAAAAAATTTAAACTAAATATACTGTTAGGAGTAATTTATAAGCAATACACCTACCAAGTTATAATTGCCAATAAAGTGAAAAAACACGCGAAGATTGGTAACATGTGTAGCCCTATGCCATTAGGACAGACGATCATTGATTTTGATATCAGTTTTCTGACTTACAGTCTGGAATATGTAAACCAAAACACTTTTAGATCACTACTCGAAACTGGAATCAAACTTCATTTAACTATTAACAACAGAAAACCACAATAATAAAGGGTAAATTATATCAAGTGCTCTAACCCCATGACCCGAAATTATATACATTGCCCACTAATTCACCTTCTTGTTTAGTACAAGAAAATTAATTGTTAACACCTCACCGAAATGCAAAAATCTGAAACTGGTGTCAATATTTTCGTCGTGGTTCGAACGAACTGAGAAACCATGTCTTTTCAGTATGACAATTTGCACTTAATTAGGTTCACTCACACTAGTCCACAGAAACGCATAAAATAGAAGGGTCTATAATGAAAAATTAACAAATCCTCTCTAGCATGAAGCTGAATACTGTCATCAATCAAGTGCTACTTTTCCTTACTGAATCTCTGAGTTTCGAAAGTAGTATACACCGAAACTCTTCAAGAAGAATTCTCACATTTCCCTTTTTTATGAATCTGTACATTACAACAATACTATATGGTAACAGTGAAGAGCTGTAATAGCGCCTGGTAGTACCGTCACTCATTGATTATATCATCGTGAAGACGACTAATCGATCACAGCTTCAAAATGTCTTTAACTTATGCAGAGCTTTATACAAGGGAGGCTGGATTGGAAAGAAGCTATAAAACACATTAAATATTGAAAAATCTTGTAACTAAGGTTGACATTTAAGTTGCAAAGAGACCACTTGGCAATAAAGCATTACTTTTTTTTACCTTGATTAGAAATATTAGAGATCTATGAAAATAGGACGAGGAATTACTGTGTCAAAGCCCAAGACGCTTCATCTCAAATCAATTTTGCAGGTGCCTGCAATATGGATTACCAAAATGTAAAATTATAGTGGAAATATATACGTTTATTTTTTAGCGGATGTTAACTTGTTACCAGAGGAAAACTTGACTCGGAGTATATAGACGTTATTACGCTACTGTGAGACAATATATGAGCTACTCTAACTGCACTGAATCAGTTAGCCACCAGCGTCCATAATATGGTATGCACCTTGCATAATCTAAGTGCAACTGCATGTCTGTAAATATCTTTAGTATACTGTAAGGAGTGATTTATAGGAAATAAACCTAACAAGTTATAATTGCCAACAAAGGCAGTCAAAAATCTTGTATATTTGAATAGCTTCATGATTGCATTCAGAAGAAACATCATTCAAGTAGTTCTTAAAAACCCAGTGGCTCGCGTTTTTGCCTGATGAAGGCTATCATACACTGTGTTGTCGCTTTTAATAATTAGCTTTAGTCGGTTGAAGCAACCGTGCAAGTGTTATCCTAACCATTTTCACATAAGTTTTCGATTACCATCTTTGGAACTGGTTTAAATGAAAAGTTGGTCAGTGTCTGAAGTGAGACTGAACATAACAGCTGGTAGTTGGATTAGGTTGGAAGAAGGCTTAGGGTAGTTAGAACAAGACGTGGCACCAGTCGATGAAGTCCCTGACCGTTGGTCTCAGCTATGCAAGGATGGGGGTGCAGACTGTCTGACTAGGATCCCTGAAGCGACAGGAATCAGTGGTTGAGGAATTTTGGTGAAATGAGTGAAAATCGACCACAATGGTAAAAAGGTATTCTCTCTTTGACGTCTTCTGTAATTCAAACATTTTCACTAACCTTCATTTTCAAATTCTTTTTTCTCCCATGTACCTATGTCTACTTTGAAATCAGTCTTTCCTATCCACTTTTCCCTTATATGGCAATGTGAAGTGTCTTGGTTGCATTGTGTTCTCTGAGCTGGGTTGCTCAATCGTGAAGCTTTCATTATCTTTCTAGACGACATCATCAGCACTAACTTCAGTATGAAGTCAGCTGTCAATGTCTCTCCGCCAGTGATGTAGTAGCTTGCCCTGACGACTTGGTTGATGGCTGGTTGTTTCCTTTGATTGTTGTGTCATTGACTGTTAAGATTTTCCTTCTGGCTGCTTCTCTGCTTGACCTCTTACCTTTCTGTTGTTTATCGTTTTGCTTATTGGTTGATAGATTGGGTCTATGTCTATACATCTGTTGATCGTCAGGGCAAGCTAGTAAATCACTCACGGAGAGGTATTGACAGCTCACTTTATACTGTAGCGCTGACGATGTCTTCTAGAAAGACGCTGAAAGCCCCACGATAAAACTACTCAGCTCAGAGAACACAATACAACCAAGACCATCCACCTGAGCTGCAAATATTCTCCATCATTTCAGTATGAAGTGTGGCAGCCTGAACCCGTTGCACTTGTGAACAAGCTTCTACGGTGATTGTTCTGTCTGTCAGCTATTACATAAACCTAGTGTGACATATGTCATCGTGATAGATGTTCTAATACCGGTATACCACCACATTGATAGCTGCGTCCATGACGTGATGAGGTTCTAATGGCGAAGTTGCACTGTTGGTGGGTTGAGCGTGTAACAGCATTACGGTGTTACCCGCGAACGACCAACAGTGGTGGTGCCTTCCATATGGGAAAGAGGGGTTTGAGAAAGTCAGCTGCAAAAATAGAACACTCCTGTGTACTCTGAGGACTTCCAATACTGACGATCGTGTCGGGCCGACTTTAGGCGGATGTCCCTTGGGCTCTGTAGTCATGCCCCACTACTTATAACAACTTATTTCTCAAGTATATCAAAAACAAGTATCCTTCTGGAATGTAGGGAGAAGTGTCAACCGCTTTCAGAAATATCACCACTCAGATCCCTTCTGATAAATGCCGACGCTCAACATTCTTCAGATCTCTCAGTCAATATTCCTACCGCATCTTTAATTTCTTTCAGCTCCACAGCCCTGGATAACGATTTGAGTCCCCGCAACAGCATCCATGGTTTCTTGCAGTTGAGCAACAAAGTGTTTATAGGAGCTCTAGATGTCTGCACCTTTTGTCAAATCGGTCAACCAGCTATCCAAAACTCTGACATCTGGGGCTGTGGACGTAGGCCACATTTGTAAGACATAAATACAGAACCCATATGTGATTATTCAAAGCCTCACGCTGCAAATATGTTGAATATGTGAAATTCACTCTTCTGGCTTCTGAAGAATTTAAGGCTACTTTTCACGGTTTTGCAGGTGTAGGCATGGTGTTAATTTCTAAGGTAGAAAGTGCACTGCTCCAGTGGATCCCAGTTGATGGTCGTCTATGAACTGTCCCACTGAACGATACAATGAAGACTAAAAAGCTGAAAACCGCCGTTGGCTTTTCGTAGCCTCTGTTCTACCGAAAGCTGTCTAGCCTCCTACTGAAAGGCAAACACTTAAATGTGGTTACCGTACAAGATGACTTGGATGTACAAATGAGTAAGTAAAGTCATGGTGAAAGGCACTTGAGTGGTAAATGCCTGCTCAGACAACCACCCATCGCTGACCAGCACGAACCTCGGTCGCAAGTGGAGACATTTTATGACGTGGCATCAACCAACATCAATTCATTGGTTGACACAGAAAGAAGATATTGCTGTCAGTTATCACTAGAGATGGTGGGTAGGAGAATACCACTCCCTCCTCAGTAAATGTTTGGATAGCGATCACACGTTTCCAGCACGCGTACGTCTGATCCTAAAGGGATGTAGAAAAACTACAGCTGCAAGACAATTCTCAGCACAACTAGATGATAATAAGAAGGTTGCTCTCAACAAGGAACCAGATACACAGTTATCGGAACACGATAACTCTCATTTTCAAGAAGCTCGGTGCCATCTCTAATCTGCTGCAAAACAAAAGTTACGTAGCAAAACTGATCCCATTAAAAAGTTAAAAGTCACTGAATCTCAGTAGATTCTACAGAATTATTGGGTGCACATGAACACGTTCTTGCAGTCTCCGAGTATAACGAAGAGAGCAGGCAAAACAAATTTAAATTAAAAATGAATCTTCGCGACTACCACGGGCAGTTAGGGGGGGAAAGTTACGGAGATGGAGAAGATAGCACTGATAACTAGCAGCAGATAGTTATTGAGATATATTACAGGAAATGGGGCAAAAAGGCGAACGGTTAGTCGGATGATAAAAAGATGTTTTTGCGTTTCATTCGCATGGGAAACGACTGGAATGATTAGTGGGAAACTTTCAGCAACAGTTCAAATGATTTGTAGCAAGTCTTCATTTGTCCGCTATCAAGTGGGATCCTGAGTGGAGCACGGAGACAGCCCCACTACCAACCACCCACCTGCCCCGCACACGAACACAAAACTCGCAGAAGTTGAGATGGCTGTGAATAACATGAAACAAAGGACAGCGCCGGCAGATCAAGTGCTCCACGTATTCAAGCATGATGGTCAAAAATAGTTGATCAGGAGAAGTGTGAGCTAGTACATGGAAATCATATGATCCCCTTTGGCTGGTCTAAGTTACTGATAGTCCCAGTCTTCAAGAAAGAAGGCAAACCCTCTTTTGATAACCACAAAAGAATTCATCACGCAAACATAATCGCTAAGATTTAACGTTCTGTAATTATTAGACGCCCAGGTGAAGCTCAGAAACAGCAAACCTAAGATAACCAGACAGCTCTTATACCTGGTTGCTGTGTCTACTAGATATCCAACCTCCACCGTATATTGCGACGCAGTCAAACTCCCCAGTGCCTGACAACAGCTTTATTTTCACCCGAAGGTGGAATTCCACTCCACGTCCTACAACAATCCCATTCACTGAAACGGCTGACAGGTGAGTAAATCACTCTACTGAAAGCTCTATATCCGAACACCTGTGGGCATGTCACAACCATATTAGGTGACTTGTGTACGTCAAATGGTGTCCATCGACGATGTTAACTCCCACCATTCTCATTATATTTTGTCATAAATGTACTTATAGAGGTCTGTCTCTCTTCGTATGACATCGCAGCGATTGATCCTGCCAGAGGAAACACCCTGGTATACCTCGATTACCAAATGAAATAGTCATCTTACGTAAAGTCACTGAAAAGAAACAGTCATTGGAACAATATGAATGACAACTTGATAATGTTTGTAGTATTTCTCACAACCCAAATGCAGTTTATTGTTTTAAAACTGATCCGCGTGACTGCCTTATCTAACAATAGTGACAGAAGTAGTTGGATAAATTGACTACTTCACTTACTAGGAAATTCGGACCAACCTTAGTGAATCAGCGACCGGTGAGATCTCTGCGAGAATAAAAAAAGATCCGATTGACTTTTTCAACTGTACACTATCTATGGTACCGGTGCAACATCCGATTGTTTACTGAGTTGAGTGTAGTGCACTGCAGTTTACACTACCATAAAGGTGTGAAATATGGCAACAAAGGTGGAGGGCATGAGAAGGCTTCAGTTGTTCGGCCACCATTCCCTCTTAGCATAGGCTGTGTCGTGAAACCTCCACATGAGTAAAACAGGTTGTGAACCATCATCAATTCAGGTGGCTGGGAGATGTGATACGCACGCCCAGTCAGTGTCTCCCTCGTCAGGTAATGTTGACTATAGTAAAAGTAGGCCGGCAAAGGTTAGAGGCAGCCTGATTAACCTTAACATCTGTCCATAAGGTCTTTGACTGATGGTTTGAGCTATGTAGAAGAATGCAAACTTTTAGGGTTAAGTACACGTAACAACCAAAATCGGAAGTTGCAGGCTACAGGTGACGTGATAGTAGCTATAAGTTACATTTGTGTAAGCCATAGCGTTTGAAATAAAATAGTACCAATGTTTCGCCAGGAAGTATGGTCCGAGCTTCTTCTAGGCCATTTGTCTCAGAATCAATCTGTGGGGCAGGTGTATCCATGCACTAACACGGAAGTAAAATTAGAGCATTGCGGTAGAATGTTTCCATTTCAGTTGATGCATCACAGTGAATCAGTACTGTTTAGTGGATTACACGTTGTACATATCCACAATCATGCATATTCTGATATCTCGCAGATAACACGAGTTGGCAATTGCTGAACAGGCCTTCTGTATCCTAACTAAAACCTTGTCAACAACCAGCTTCTTCGACCTGATGCTACTTCTCAAGTAAGCAAAACCGTCAAGGCATTCCACTATTTCACTTCATACTTGAACTAGTAGTTACAGACCAATCATGAAGCATTATTTTATATTTGACAGACGTGAAACGCTCACTAAACACTCAGATTTCTGCTCAACGAGTTCACAAAACCTTGGATTAATCAGAGTCTTCACCTAGCACGACGGTGTCGTCTGCATACTCCAAGCTAACCACCAGCCCTACAAGGAGTTGATCATTCCCAAGAAGTCACAGGTACCTAAAGTTATGACCATTAGTACATCTTTAACGGAATTAAACAGGAACGGTGACAGATGACATTCCCGATGAACACCACTGGCTGTCATCACTTCATATGCCAACTTTCCATAAACTCTTACACAAATGCTTGAGTTCGGGTAGACAGATCTGATTAATGCTGCATACCTGCTTGGTACTCTTTTCACGGTCACTGTCACAACACCTTATGGTAGATAGAGTAAAATACCGCCTTCACGTTAAAAAATATGGCGTGTTGAAACAGGACTAGTATGCCTGTTTCATAGTCTGTCGAAGGATGAAAGTCTAATCGATGCATCCTCGTTTATGTAAGTGGCATATGATGTATCCAGTATTATGAATACAAACGATAAACCTAAACGAAATCAATTCAAAAAGACTACAACTTTCAAAGTTACAATTTTTACTGATTCGACAATATTGGGATGCAGTTCATGTCTTTAGAGATCCATTGGATCTACATATATGAATCACCAAAAACTACTAAGCAGCCATGTTACTGATTTGAGCAATATATAATCTGAAAGAAGACACAAAAGCGGATCCGCATCATTATCATAGCTACGTTAAATATGGCTAAATTCTTAAATTCAAGCATGACACACGCTTACTGCGCGATACCATCGACTGATCAGCCTTCTTCAAGGTAGTATTTTTACCCCTGAAAACTGCTTGAGATGCAAGGTCAGTAGCGTTTCGCTTTTGTGGTACGTATACTTATTGAGAAAACTGAATGAGACTAGAAATCTCTAAAAATAGGTTTGTAACAAAAGTTTTGAATCAAACACGTGTGTTGTTGACGTGATACGAACCAAATTCCGAATTCGTCTAAAATATCTCTAAAAACTAATTATCAAACTGTCTGAAGTTGCGAACGCAGGCAGGTTTACAGTTACCTTCAGTTATTATATGACAGGTTTTTGACTTGCCAAAAACTGAAAAACAGACGTGTACAAGAACTCCCAAGCACGATAGCTTTTTGAGTACACCGGATATACTTAGGTAAAAACAGTTCGTCACTACTCTGACGAAGGATTATAACGCCCCTGACTTAGTTTTCATGGGAACCTTAGTCCTCTTCTAACTTGTGTACGTTCCGAATTCGTAGAAAACGACAACAAAACGGCACCGTACGCATTCCCACCTTTATCTTTAACATATAAGTTGGTCAATAATCTCACTTCTTCTGAAATGAAACAAAGAAACTATGCTAAGGCAGACTACGACCTGGCATTTTCGCTGATCAAACGCAGTATATGGGGAAAATGTAGAACTATTACATGATATATTTTACTGAAATTCCTATACTTTTATTGACATTATTGATAAAGCCTATCAGGAATAAACTGTTGGTATTTCTGATTATAATTATCTGCTATAAACGTACTTATTCTGCAATAAGAATTCACCCTGGTCTTCCACAATCAAACCTATTTGTCCCCTCTAGCTCATGTCACGATCATATCTCAAAGCGTTTGAACAATATCATATATACCAAAGTATGTTTTGAACTGACTGTCGCAGATATGTTGGTCTTAGTATATTTTTGTCTGGATAGCGGTCGCAAAGTTTAAGCACCTGTTGACAAAAACCCTGTTATTACAATCCACTTTTCGCCCATAGCAAATATTTCGCGGCTGACAGTAAATCCTAGTAGTTGTTGCATTCTTCAACTTACCTAGAATTTAGATATGCTGAACACTGTCGACACTCGTATGTACTGCTTATTTTCCCCTTTTTGGTCTGTATGGAGAGGGAGCGGAAAAGATGTCACGTTTGATAAAATGCAAATCCTAGAGATCCAAATTTTGTTGGCACCAATAACACATGCATAGAATTAAACAGCCTTATTCATGCACAGACATTAACATTACCACAGCTGAGGACGAAAAGAAGAAGTGTGAACGCTGAAAAAGAAAAACTAAGCACCCAACCTAGAAGTTTATAGACCGCTCGTCCGCTGACCTGTTGTGATTGCAGTGAACAAAAACACTTTTATACAATGCAATATCTGTTTAACGAACATGTGTAAACCAGTTGACTTCTTTATACTCGCTTCTCAGTCTTGCGGAACGGTCCCAGGTCTTTGGCGGATTCTAATATTCCAATATTCCAATATTGATAGTACGAGCGTAGAAAACTGGTAGTTTTTGATCTCTCGTGTCTAGTTCTTAGGGCTTGGTTCCAGTTGTTCGGTTCACTCCTGCAGTGGACGAGGAAATCCCCTCTGCTTTCTTGCTCTTAGCTTCGGTGAGGTGGATGTTTTGTGGGTTTGTAAGTTGCAATTTGTAGAGTGATTGGGGAGCTATGGGTTGCTGGGACGTTAAGGGGACTGCCGTGACTCCTGTCTGTGTAGGTACCTGAAAGAGGATAGTAGGGTAGTGGTAAAGGAATGAAGAGAGAATAAAGAAAAGAGTGAAGTAGCACCATAGAGACTCTGGGGGCTGGGTTAAGGCCGTATCGCTAACCATCCTTGCCTTTAAACAGGAGTTTACGTAGACCGCCACTCCACCTCCTGCTCTATGTTCCCTGCCCCTGCGGAAGAGTCCCATGCCAGCAACACACATCTCTTCGTCGGAGATGTCCGATGAGAGCCAGGATTCGGTGATGAATATGATGTCGGAGTGCTGATGTTCACGCAGCGTCCTCATTTTTGCTACCTTCCCTCTTAGCCCCCTAACGTTGCTGTACATACATATTAGAGTGTGCCTGATGAGACAGGAGGTCTGGATGTGTATTTTCGAGGGATGAGCGCTTACGTGGTTGATTTTAGCCTCGCCAGTCCTCATAGGACTGGCATTGTTCCGTTTTTTTGTGTTTTGTTGTTAACTTGGGTGGGGGCTGTAGCAGTGGTGGCTTCTTTACTTGATGTATCGAACTCACTGGTCAGCGCCTGTGTGACGACCACTGACTCCAGAGGTCTTGGTGGTTGCCGTCTCTCCTCTTGCCTTGTGGGTCTAGGCTTACTTTTACACATATGTATTGAGCCACCCATGCGATCCTTCGCATTATACCATGCGTGCAGAACGTCTGTGAGGGAGGCATATGAGTCGAACTGGACGGCGAGTAGTCTGGAATTGGGTATGGTCTTCAGGTGCGCTGGCCTTGGCAGTCTACTGACGCTGTTGGCCGGTATACTGTTGAGACCAACTTTGGTTGAGAGCCATTGCCTTTCTCGGACGTCATGAAAGTACCGATCTTTGACCGAGCGGTCACTTGGCAATTCTGGAATCCCATGTACAACTATAGTGTTGTTTCTGTTGGGATTTCCAACCGCTGACTTTCTCTCCTCCTCTCTTACTGACCATAGCTTGTCAGGCCTGGCCCGAATTTTACAGGCATTAACAACGTCCGGTTGTCGTGAGAGGAGGAGTGTGTCTTCAGCCTCTTTGGCGGTATTTAGGGACACACGTAAAGGGGGGGGGCTTATCTCGGGGTGCATGGCTTCCTCGAGAAAGGCGACACAAAGTTGCAGGGAGGGGAGGGAGTCCCAGCATCTGACAGTAGTCGGTCCACATTCGGCTGTCAAATTGTTCCCTCTCGACCAACAATGAGTCTGTCGATACATCGACGTTGAACAAAATGATCGAGTTGGTCCTCCTGTGACCTGGGTTCGTTGTGGGCGGCACGCCCGACTTCCCAATAGGATTGAGTAATTCCACTGGTTGTTTCTCAGTCACGGTGTGTGGGGTGTTCGGAATGGGTTTCGTAGAGGTTTCGGCGGTCGATGTCTTTGGCCATGAGCCTGACGTCCCCTGGGGCCGGGTAGGGGGTATGGGGACTTGACCTAATATGGTCCCCATGCGAGATGGCGTGCCCACAGCTGTAGCTGTAGATCTGTTTCCAGGTCTCTCTGTGTTATCCTTTGGTGTTAACCCGACTTCATTCGAGGATACTGGTTGCTTTTGCATGGCGGAAAGCATCTCCTCCAGGCTTTCTGTGCGGAGTGCGGGCATTTTCCTGCACTCTGGACAGATGTACCAGAACCACTTGCATGGTCGTCTCTTATCAGCTTATAGTATTGTCGGGGGACTTTGATGTCGCATTGGCAATGCACCCATCGGTGACATAGGTTGCATGCAAATGCCTCATCGACTACCGAAACAACTTTGGTGCAAACACTGCAGCCATCGGGTGTCGTAATACAGCCTTCCTTCCATGAATAAGGTGCTACGGATTATGGCGAACCGCTTGTGGCTGCCTTGTTCTGAAGCCTTTTACGTCGTCTTCCATGTTCAGGCATGGTATGATCCTTGCTCAAGGTAGGACTAGTTTGTGACGGGCTAGTGCTTCTCAGTGTCACCTGTCTGATGGCGACTGGAATTCTAGAAACATGGGTTGGCCACTTCTTTAGAAGTTCGGCGTTCTGCCCTACCTCTGTTCGTCTTCTAGTACAGACTAGTGTGTTGTTTCGAGTGTTATTGGCCGTTGTTGTGCACGACCGCGTTATCCGTGTCTAAGCTTCAGACCTAGCGTTTTGGGCAGACATGTCGCTGTGATATAAACTTCTTAGGAAAACAAGTAGTTAACAACAATAAGAGGGTTGAAGACTGAATGCAGCAAAAGGACAGAATAGAAAAAGGAAGATAATTTATGTTGGCTCACCTTCAGACACTTGTCACTTGGTCCTCTGCTCTTGACCAACGAGTTTAACCGTAAGCTCCAGATGCGTCTGCATAACCAGGAAAGATATTTCCTGGGGAATGACCTCCGAGGAGAACCGAGAGCTAAAGCAGTTTGGCAGTTGAAACGCCCAAGAACCACTGACAGGAGGTAGACCGGTTGGTTCAAAGGAAAAATAATGCCAATTTTCAACTGTTGAGGAGTGAGCTGACGAATACGCAGGGGTGAGATGCGTGAACGGACAGAAGTGCTGCAAACGTTCGACGTTTTTAGATTGAGTATTGCAAGTGGGAGTTTTTTAATGTGGAAAAATCCAAAAGCTGAGAGACGAGCGAAACACGTCACTACTCGAGGAGCGCGCGGTTCTGGCCTATTAGGAATAAACTGTTGGTATTTCTGATTATAATTATCTGCTATAAACGTACTTATTCTGCAATAAGAATTCACCCTGGTCTTCCACAATCAAACCTATTTGTCCCCTCTAGCTCATGTCACGATCATATCTCAAAGCGTTTGAACAATATCATATATACCAAAGTATGTTTTGAACTGACTGTCGCAGATATGTTGGTCTTAGTATATTTTTGTCTGGATAGCGGTCGCAAAGTTTAAGCACCTGTTGACAAAAACCCTGTTATTACAATCCACTTTTCGCCCATAGCAAATATTTCGCGGCTGACAGTAAATCCTAGTAGTTGTTGCATTCTTCAACTTACCTAGAATTTAGATATGCTGAACACTGTCGACACTCGTATGTACTGCTTATTTTCCCCTTTTTGGTCTGTATGGAGAGGGAGCGGAAAAGATGTCACGTTTGATAAAATGCAAATCCTAGAGATCCAAATTTTGTTGGCACCAATAACACATGCATAGAATTAAACAGCCTTATTCATGCACAGACATTAACATTACCACAGCTGAGGACGAAAAGAAGAAGTGTGAACGCTGAAAAAGAAAAACTAAGCACCCAACCTAGAAGTTTATAGACCGCTCGTCCGCTGACCTGTTGTGATTGCAGTGAACAAAAACACTTTTATACAATGCAATATCTGTTTAACGAACATGTGTAAACCAGTTGACTTCTTTATACTCGCTTCTCAGTCTTGCGGAACGGTCCCAGGTCTTTGGCGGATTCTAATATTCCAATATTCCAATATTGATAGTACGAGCGTAGAAAACTGGTAGTTTTTGATCTCTCGTGTCTAGTTCTTAGGGCTTGGTTCCAGTTGTTCGGTTCACTCCTGCAGTGGACGAGGAAATCCCCTCTGCTTTCTTGCTCTTAGCTTCGGTGAGGTGGATGTTTTGTGGGTTTGTAAGTTGCAATTTGTAGAGTGATTGGGGAGCTATGGGTTGCTGGGACGTTAAGGGGACTGCCGTGACTCCTGTCTGTGTAGGTACCTGAAAGAGGATAGTAGGGTAGTGGTAAAGGAATGAAGAGAGAATAAAGAAAAGAGTGAAGTAGCACCATAGAGACTCTGGGGGCTGGGTTAAGGCCGTATCGCTAACCATCCTTGCCTTTAAACAGGAGTTTACGTAGACCGCCACTCCACCTCCTGCTCTATGTTCCCTGCCCCTGCGGAAGAGTCCCATGCCAGCAACACACATCTCTTCGTCGGAGATGTCCGATGAGAGCCAGGATTCGGTGATGAATATGATGTCGGAGTGCTGATGTTCACGCAGCGTCCTCATTTTTGCTACCTTCCCTCTTAGCCCCCTAACGTTGCTGTACATACATATTAGAGTGTGCCTGATGAGACAGGAGGTCTGGATGTGTATTTTCGAGGGATGAGCGCTTACGTGGTTGATTTTAGCCTCGCCAGTCCTCATAGGACTGGCATTGTTCCGTTTTTTTGTGTTTTGTTCTTAACTTGGGTGGGGGCTGTAGCAGTGGTGGCTTCTTTACTTGATGTATCTAACTCACTGGTCAGCGCCTGTGTGACGACCACTGACTCCAGAGGTCTTGGTGGTTGCCGTCTCTCCTCTTGCCTTGTGGGTCTAGGCTTACTTTCACATATACGTATTGAGCCACCCATGCGATCCTTCGCATTATACCATGCGTGCAGAACGTCTGTGAGGGA